CATACTTAAACATTTAGATATTTAGTTTTGTGATGAATAGTTAAGATATGAAACATCATGAATATATTTGACTACACTTCTTCAATTTGTTGAGTATAAATAGATAATGAAATGGGGACTGAAAGAAAAAAATTTACTTCTGTAATTCATGTATCTGCTGCAGCATCAAATCCCTTTGGAATCTAGATCATATTTGCATCATCACTTTTGACTTCCTGGAAAGTCTGAAGCCCCTCCCAAGATCTCTGCAGATTCCCTTATGGTATATAGTCTCAAGATTAACTCAGTCTGCAATCCTGCATTTGTGCATGTTTCCGTGTTCTGCATTTTGTTAGGCTGATGTAAACTTGGTTCTTTCCTCAACTCTGTCAACAAATCAAGTTAAAAATGTGATAAAAATAGACCTGACTGAATCAAGGTGCAGAGTTTACAGTGTGGCAACACAAACATTTCAAGTTGTATGTTACAGTGCTCTGTCTTTCAGCATCCTCTCCCTGGGAAAGTTGCATTGTGCCCTTGTCACCTCACAAAATGGTCAGCATTACACCATTTTGCAGGCTGTTCTTTTACCCCATGTACTTCTCTGCTCCTCCAGTACCGAAATTTAATTTTTTTATTTATGCAGAAGTTTAATCTCAAATTATTTATCAAGCAAGAATGGCTTTTTCTAAGAGGAAGTCTATGCTAGATAGTTAGAATAAAATTTTAACTTTTGCTTCACTTAGTTATATATTTGTTAATTCAGCAGTCCTACTGATTAAAGTGGCCAGGTTTTTTTTTTTTTTTTTTGTGGTACGCGGGCCTCTCACTGTTGTGGCCTCTCCCGTTGCGGAGCACAGGCTCTGGATGTGCAGGCTCAGCGGCCATGGCTCACGGGCCCAGCCGCTCCGCAGCATATGGGATCTTCCCGGACTGGGGCACGAACCCGTGTCCCCTGCATGAGCAGGTGGACTCTCAACCACTGCGCCACCAGGGAAACCCCAAAGTGGCCAGTTTTAAAATGGATTGTGTCAAGAATATGGATCTAAAATAGTCTCAGGAATCTCTCAAAGAATCAGTGTGAAAATTTCAAACAGTATCAGAGGAAAATTATATGTGTTATGATGAAAAAGAATAAAAATTAGAAAAGGTGAATAAAGCTTTGTGGAGTTATCAAAACCACTAAAGAGAAAGTAAGCAGTTTAAAGCTTTGTCTCATCCTTTTTGTGCATCCCTTTTAGGGAAGGTAATCAAATACATGATGCTAATCATGACCCTATGCTCATAAAATTGCCCAGAACTGGAAAGTGACAACAATTAGACCTTTAGTAGCATTAGTAAGTTTGAAAGGAAGATCAAAGTAAGTCTCACCTATGAAAACTTAGCAACAGGTATTTTATTGGGGGATTTTTAGATTCCTCCCCACTCTCCCTTCCCAGCCCCTACTTCTGTCTCTCCTTGCCCATGGGATTGTATTTCTAAAGGAGAAAGACATTATCTAAGCTGATCTCATCAGGTTGTGAACAACAAATAAAATTTAGTGAGAATGATTGACCTTAGCTGTGAAAGGAGTCAGTGTCCTTGAGGAGGTGCAGCCACTGTGTGTCCAGCGCCTCCTGGCGATCAGACACTGGCTTTTCAGTGCGGCAAAGAAAGAGAGTGTCCAGGAAAGGCAAGGCATCCAGTTTCCAGGTGTATTTTTTTTGAGATCGGATCAGTCCCATCAAAAAATTTCCTACTAACCAATCTCTTTTGGAGATACTTTTCAGAGAAAGAGTTTCCAGAATCTCCACTTTGCATTTTTAACCTAGAATTTTTCATTACTTCCACATGTAATTATCATGTTATTTCTATTAGCATATTTCAGTGACAGGGACAGAACTTGGCTACAAAGGAAGTGAAAATTATGCTTTCAGGTATGCAATAGTGAGAAAATTAATACATTCTACACATATGGAACACTTAATTAAAAATATAAAGTAATATGTGTTGAAATGTCAAGATAAGTAGCCTAAAGTTATTTATATTCTGGGCAGACAGAAATCAGTGATGATTAGAAAACCTTTTACATTATGCATTTATTCAATCCTATCCCATCTTGTTCTAGAAAGAATTCAAGACCAAATGTGTTCCCTACAACAAGGTAAAAAGAAAGTTGTGCGGTAATCAGGGCAGCTGGAGAAATACAGGGTAGCATTCAAAAGAGGAAAAGGGGGGTGGTACTTAGGAAGAGGAGAGATGTTTAGAATAGGCTATGTTCAAAGGTAGAGAATACCCCTTCACTGAAACTGTTCAGTGGAGTCCAGGTGATACTCGCTGGGGATTCTTCAAGGAACTGGAGCATGGGCTAGGATTTGAGCCAGATGACTTCCCTTCTGGCCCCAATGCATGAAGGAAGCATTTATTGAGAGATTACCGTGTGTGTCTCATGGTCACTTCTTTTATTGGAGTGCTATAAAATAGCTTTAAGACTGGGTTCCTGCCCTTGAGGGGGTTTATAACTTTTCCCCTAAAAATAAGACCAACATTCATGTAGTTAGAGAATGAAATAAAGCAGTCTCCCATTAGATGTTAAGTCGTGAGGTACAGGGTATTAGTTCCTAGGGTATTTAAGAATATTTCATAAAGGAAGAAGCTGCAGAATGTTAGGAGAAGGAGAGGAGAGATCACATCAATTTGGGAAATTTTCTTTGTGGGAATTTGGACATACTGCTGCTGTATGCTGATCGTGAAGTACTTTGGGTAAGAGAAGGGAGTTAGCAAGTCTGGTGTGAAGCTCCTTTTGTAGTTGGCCATCCCCTGATAATTCTCAAACATGTCTAGCAACTCTGGTCAAGGTCAGGGTGATGCTGAGATCCGAGTGGTTCTGATCTGACTAAGAAGGTGTGACTGGTGCATCATAAGCACAGAGCAGGGCTGATGGGAAGGTCAGCCCAGAGCAAGCTTGCCCCAAGGAGCATCTGCCTGAAGGAGAAAGGAAACAGGAACACAGGATGATGGAGGGGGGGAAATAGACCCCGGTAGAAGGTGGTCACACATAAAGATGGATGTCCACCAGGTATTAGATTTTGGTAGCTGTCTAGGAATGACGTGAAAATGAAGGCAGCTGCCCCTCTAGGATGAGTTCTGTTGTTTGAGCAGAGAAAGGGTTATGGTGGAAGGGTGATACTGAACTACAGCAGGAGCTGACTGGGAGAGTTGGGTAAGCACGTGCCTGGCTCAGGGTCTGAAAAAGAAGAGCATATAAAATAGCGTAAATTAACACAGAGTATGAGGCTCCATTGAAAACAGGCCTTACTAGGACAATAAGGAATGCTATTTCTGAGACCGTTTTGAGGGCCAAGGACAGGGAAAGAGAATTGAAAAGAGAATAAGATAAAGAGAGAGAGGGAAGCCAGAAAAAAATGGAGGGGCGAGTAAGGTCCAAGGAAGCCCTGCCTTTGAACTTCCTTCCCTCTCCCTCCACTGGAGCTCTTTACCCCTCATTGTCCTTGACTTTCTTCTCTTCTCTTTGCCAATTGCTTAACACAGGCTTAGAAGTAAACACATTTCCACAGAGTCTCACCATTATAGGTTCTTTCCCAACTTTAAAACGTCTGTCCTTTTAGAATGTTGTGAAGGAGAAAAGTAACATGGCCAAGATGGGAGGTGAAGATATATCTGTGGTCCAGCAGGAGAGTTCAAAGGACCCAAACAAATACCCTTGGTGTAATTGGTGAAGCTCTTCTTTAGTAGAAAATAGTATTCCTGTCCTTTCTTGCCCACCTCACTCTCAGTAACCCTTGGGTTGTTCCATGAAAGAGAAGGGATAAGAACTCCCATGCCTTTCTGTCTTGGCTTTTATTCAGGAACAGACAGTTGTTTATTTAAATCTTTCAAGACTGTTACTTACCTAGGTTACTGTCGCATTCTTCATACCTTTATGTTGTCATCATCTTTGTCAAAAAGGTGGTGAGAAAGGATAATCTACTGGAAACAGGAGAAAGGAAAGTAGGGGAGGAGAATAGTGATCATTGAGCAGGCAATATGTAATAGTTATGTTTTTTGCTAAAAGAAAAGAGAGTAACATAAAACCAATATTTTTCATTTTGAAATATGTATTGATAGCTGATAAGCGCTATCAAAATCTCAATTTCTAGTCTAGATTCTTAAGCAGTTTTTAACTCTGGAGACTTGAACAGGAGTACCAGATTTTTGAAGATTAAGCAGTTTAAAAAAATGTCAAGTCAATAATACATGTGCCTTGTATTCAAGGTGCCATGAATTGGAGGAAAACTTGTGTCTAAAACATGCTTTCTGTTTTCTTATAGCTGTGGTATAAAATCCCAATCAAGGAAATATGTCTTTCTCTTTATTGTCTATCAATTTTGTGTATACTTTGCACTTTGCTCCATCACTACTAACTAATTCCTTTTGCAATTTGAGGATAGGTTGGCTAAATTTTTTCCCATGTTTGAAAGACTAGTTATGTATTCTGTTATATGGATGTGGAGAGCATGAATTTCTTGATATTAAATTGGTAAATTGATTCTTGGCAACCTAGTGGATTGGGTGAATGGGCAAGGGTGGTCTCGGGAGCCATTTTGCAGACTAGCACAAGTGAGGGAGGAGTCTTAAGAAAGATCATAACCAAAACGATTTTGTTCTTTTCGGAAGAGGAGTTTTTATAAGAAGAATCTTGAATTGCTGTTGTATGGACCTTAGAAGAAAAAATATTTTATATGTATAAAAATGGAGTGAGTTTTATTATATAGATGCAGTTTTGATAGTCTTGAAAGTGCAAAAAACCTTCTCTGTTGTATGTTGAGATACACTACAAATAAAAGAAACAAGATAACGAGACATTCTAAATAAGAGTCAAGTGGGTAAGGAAGCAAGGGAATTCGAGAGAAATAAAATGAATCTTACTTTGCATGTTTAAGATCCATTAACACTTCTATTTAGTTTCAGAAGAGAGGAAAAAATGAATATATTTCTGCTGATTTTGAAATTTGTGTTTTACAAGTCATCTTTTTCCACAGAGCCCACTTGAATGACCTCGAAAATATTGTGCCATTTCTTGGTATTGGCCTTCTGTATTCCTTGAGTGGTCCAGATCTCTCTACTGCCATCCTGCACTTCAGGCTCTTTGTTGGAGCACGAATCTACCACACAATTGCATATTTGATACCCCTTCCCCAGCCAAATCGCGCTTTGGCTTTTTTCCTTGGATATGGAGTTACACTGTCAATGGCTTACAGATTGCTGAGAAGTAGGTTGTACCTGTAAAGAGAATCATACAACTCATCATCCAGTGATTTTCTAACAATTCTGTACTTCCAATTTGTAACAAATACTTTTTAAGATTTTAAGTGGGAAGGGAGCAGGGAAATTAAGATAGGGAAAACCTGGTCTGAATATTAATGTCACCAATATCCTTTATTCTTTCTTAATATTTGCACTAGAAATTTAACATAATTTTTAGCTCTTTTGTCTTATTCTTAAGTACTTTGTTTTAAATTTTGATTGTAATTTGTAACATTATTCAACATTTCATATTTTAAATCTTTAGAAAGAGTAAGTACATGTATGTTAAACTTGTATTTCAGTATTGCTGAAATCGGCGTATGAAATAAAGAATTTAAAGAACGATTTCATTTGGTTTTATTTTTCCCAACATATTTTCAAAAGTTTCAGGGTTTCCCTGGTGGCGCAGTGGTTGAGAGTCCGCCTGCCGATGCAGGGGACACGGGTTCGTGCCCCGGTCCGGGAAGATCCCACATGCCGTGGAGCGGCTGGGCCCGTGAGCCATGGCCGCTGAGCCTGCGCGTCCGGAGCCTGTGCTCCGCAACAGGAGAGGCCACAACAGTGAGAGGCCCACGTACCGCAAAAAAAAAAAAAAAAAAAAAAAAAGTTTCAATCCTACAGAAAAGTAGTACAATGAACTTCTATATGTCTTTCACCTAGATTTACCAGTTGTTAATATTGCCGCATATTTGCTTTAGCTCTTATCACTCAGTGTTTTTTTCTGAACAATTTGAAAGTAAGCTGCAGATACTATATCATGCATTTAAGATATTTCATTCCTAAATACTTCAACATTTATCTCCTGTGTACAAAGCAGTCTCCAAATAACCATACCATTCTCACACCAAAGAAATTTAACTCTAATACAATATTTATTAACATACACAGATCATATTTAAATTCCCCAATTTTTCCAATAATGTCTTTTATAACTGCTTTATTTTTGATCCAGGAATCAAACAAGGATGTCACACTGCCTTTTGTTATCATTTCTATTTAGTTTTCAATAAAATGGATGAGTTCTTTCATTTTTTTTTATCTTTTATGACTGGCATTTTTTGAGAAGTTTAGGCTGGTGGTTTTCTAGAATGATCCTTAATCTGGTTTGGTTTTGTATATTATTTTCTCATTCTTAGATTCAAATTAAACATTTTTGTTAACGTTGTGTTCTTCAGATTACAGCACGTTTGATGTCAGTTTGTCCCATTAGTGGTGATCAGTTCAGTAAGGTAGTATCGACCAGATTTATTCACTGTAAAGCTATCTTTTTGTAATCGTATTTAGGGTGATAAATTGAGACTGTGCAAATCCTGTCCTCCTACAAACTTTCACCCAATGGATTTAGCATCAAATAATGCTCAGTTTTGTTTCTATATAAAAATATAAAAATTCATAAAGCATATATTTACAAACATATAAACCCTATATACATCCATACATATTTATATTTTTTGTCTTGAATGATGTGTACTTAAACCTTTATAATAAAGGATGAACTGTTAAAATATTGATATTTTTCTTATACTCACCATTTATATTATTAGTTTTTCTCTCTCTTGATTACTCTTAATTTTAATACATATTTCTTAAGTAGTGCTTTTAGTCGCGCTCATAATGGTTCATTTAGGTTTACCACACAAATGAAAAGTCACTGTGTTTATATTTTAAGTTTCATAATTTGAGCAGCTCTTAAGTCCATAAACGTATTGGACAATTGACTGTGGAGAATTCTGTACAAGTTTCTTTTCACTTCTTTTCCTAATGTTAAAAGCAGCTTTGCATATCAGGAAAGCTTTGTGGTATAATTAATGGAAAAGATCATGAGCTCAGAAGTGAAAAGTTCAAAATTTAAGGATTAGATCTGCCTGCGTAAACACGCACGCGCACACACACACACACACACACACACACACACACAGACACCCTACCCTCTGGATTTGGGTAACCTATTTACTCTGTCCAATCTGTAGTTTCCTTAAACTTTTGTTACATTTTTTGAAGGTCAAATGATCTATGTATGTGAAAAAAAGATATTCTAAACAATAAAGTGTCCTCCATATGGAAATTATTTGAGTAATCTATCGAGCACAAAGATTCAGTTAGCTGAGTTTTGTGTAAGATACTTGTTTAACCATTGTCACTTCTGTAATTGTTCTCATAAATTTTCTACTTCCCTGGTAATGCTTCTCAGAGTAGTAGCAGAATGTACTGTGGTTATTGGTTACCCACTCAGCTACTAATATTTGATATCTATTACTTAACAACTATCAGGAAAAAGAAAGGACATTTAAATTATATGTTCTTAGAGGTATAAAAACTATGTATGTGTGCAGAACATGTTTAAGAAAAAATGAAAATGTCTAGAGATCACCCACTTCAATTTCCAAGTTTGAATAATAGTTGTAAAGACAATTTAAAATGGTTTCTAACTGTGTTTTCACTCAGAAGAGAAGCTGTAGATGTTGGGGAATTTATTAGTGAAACTGTTGTAATGGAGGAGGATGGATGAAGGAAAAACTATTTACTGGTCCAGTGTCTCCTGTACCAAGGAATCCCCACCTGACCACATGACACACTGGACTCTGGAGGGACGTCTGTGCTATAAGTGGCTTTGACTTGTGATGGGACAGAGGTGGAGAAGAGATTGCACAGTTTGTATTAACACTGTTACCTAGGAGGGACCTGATGGATATGTTCATGTTTCTACCACTTAATTAGAACTCTTTGAACGCAAGGATTGTGTTTTCTTTGTCTTTATATATACATTCTCATTCATGTACACAAACATGAATGTGTGAATGCACATCTGCATTCACACACCCCATTCTCGGACTCCACACTCACCACACACACACACACACATACACACAGGAGTTAGTACCACCACCATCACCAGTACTAACCATTATGTATGCACTTAATAATTAGGTAACAAGTTACTTCTTCAAATTTCACCACTCCCTTCACTCAAGCCTTGGTCTCTCACCAACCCTAAACTAACTCTACCATAAGTAAGTCAAGTTTCTTCTGCAGAAATCAGAAGGTATTTATCTGTAATTCTTATAGAAGCATCATCTAGGGTGGTGATGGGAGTTTTAGTGAGAGGGTGCAGTGACTCTCAAATGGGGCTGGAGGGTGGGGCAGATTTTATCAAAATCTCTACAGCTAGCATCTACACATACACACAATATACTGAATCAATATTATTTAGGACATAAGCCCTATGGTTATTTCACGTAGTACTACGTAGAGTAGAATCTTCTTAGCAGGTGGGGACATCTATCTCTAAGATGTACTTATTTGGCTCGGACATGTTGAAAGATGGTGGTGGGACATCAGAATTTGACATATATTAAAGGGCTCTGTGGTTTTAAAAGACTGAGAAAACCTTATCTGATCAGTGCCAAATGGGCGGGACCCTCTGCTTTGAAAAGTCAAACACTTACTCTTTCAGGGTATCGATGTGACTAGGCCCTGAGAGGTAGACTCATAAATGAGACTTGAGTGTAAACCATAATAGCAAGGAATTCACTGAAACTCAGTCCTATAACTGTCCCATGGTCTAGTGGTTTTGAATTCCAGGGGTCACTCCATTCTGGCCCTGTGGTCAAGCTGCCTTGGAAGTTAAATTGTGATCAGAAATCCTCTCTTGATTTTCTCTGGGGAAGCACTGCCAAAGGTACCAAAGTTACTCCATGACTCAGTGCTCTGCACACTATAGGAAGGCTTGTGTGGCTTGGAGAGCATGGGTTCACAGCAAAGAGAGTTGGATGAGTCAAACGTTCAATGGCATAAGACTAAGGTAACCTGATATATCCGTTTCAAGATAGAGGTGATGTCATGAATGGGACTAAAAATACTTATAGCTCAAGCCTAGGGAATCCTGTGTAAGTTCTAGAAACCATTCACCTGAGGGTTCTACTTTATAAATACCAAAAGAAAATTTTTTTTTGAGTTGCATAGTTGCTTCACACTGACTAGTTTTGGAGACAGATGGTGAGAAGTGAGGCAATTTGCCTTGAAAGTCTCTACAATCCATTTAGAAACAGCGGCACGAGAATCCTATGGTCATCTCCCTGCTGCCAGCCTGAAATGTCAGCCCTGTGGGAAGCTGATAGGTGTTCCTGCTATCAACAGAAGCAGCACTTCTACATTCGTATCTTTCAGAGTACTTTATTCACTATATATCCTATGTAAACTGTTGGATTTGACAAGGAGGGGTTGTCAAAGGCAGACTACTGGGAAGGGACTATGTTGGGTTGAATTTGGCACCAATCTCTCACACTTGACAGCTCAAGTACAAGATTGGGGATGCGCTGTAGGACCTATGAGCCTCCTCAGGCAGCAGGCGCAGGCCCTAAGTCACATTTAATGCAGAAAGCCCTGACAGCCCTGCATGAAATGGGCGCGGTAAATGGAGAGAGAGGAGCTGCGTGCAAGCGTCGGCCATTTAAGTTATTTCCTCTTACTGGAGTTTCGGAAAATAAGAACCAGGATGATATAGACTGTGCTACACCACAAAGAGATCTGCATTAGCAACTTAAAGAAAATCATCTAAAGTTTAAGGCTGGGCGACGTGATTTTCCATAGCTAAAAGCTAAGAGGGGAATCAGTGGAGAGTCAGAGCTGCCTAAAATTCTTCATCTTTTACCCTACATTATACGTATCTATATCTATATTGCTATATTAATAAACCCATCTAAAGAGAAAAGTAAAGGATTGAAGCAGTTTTACATAGTGGAATAGAACAATAGATTTGAAAGCACTTAAATTTGAATCTTGGCTCTGACACTTTCTGGCTGCACGAGACAATGACCAAGATGTTTAACTTCCTTAAGCCCCATCTTTAATTCTAAAATGGCAAGATTAAGACTTTACCTACGGTATTAATATTCTTTTGCCACAATACTTCTATGTAACAAATCATCCGTGACTCAGGGGTTTGGCAAATGATTCTGCAGGGTTGGGCTGGTGTTGGCTGGGTTTGCACATGTGTCTGCTGTGAGCTACAGGTTGGCTAAGTGATTCTCGCGGACGTGTGTCTAACTGTCTCGCATATCTAGGAATTGGCTGGAGCTTGGGTGATTCCAGATGATCTAAACTAGGATTACTGGGGCAACTCAACTCTATTCCATGTGTCTCATCCTCTAGTATGGGGGTCAGTAAACTATGGCTCATTGGCCAAATCTAGCCCATGTATTGTTTCTATAAATAATGTTTTATCAGAACACAATTTTGCTCATTCATTTTCATATTTGCTACGGCTCCTTTCATGTCACAATGGCAGCGTCGAGTAGTTGAATAGTAGCAGTAGAGACCACATGGTCCACAAAACCAAAAAGATT